TTTTTTTTTTTTTTTTACAAATATTTATATTTAGCTTTAATATATTTTAGTTTTTAAAATAATTTTAGTACTGCAGGTTAAACGTATTTATCGAAGTTATTTGCCAAGGCAACAACTTTATTTTTAAGTAAGTTTTTCCTTCCAATATTTGTTTTATTTTCACTTTATTTTGAAATGAATAACAATTTTGTTCTAAAGTTATACTTTTAGTTAACGTTAACAACACTGGCACAAGACTGTAGTGCAATCTGACTTTTGTCAAAAGGGTTTTGTGTAGGTCTATTACCAGTGGTTAGTGCTTGTGGTGTTCATGTGGGAGATGTGGGTTTGAATCTAAAAAGCAACAACGCCAAGGAGTGCATGACATAAAATGCATACATTGAATGCAGTGTAAGTCACTTTGGGAAAAAAAGTGTCTGCCAAATGCATAAATGTAAATTTCCATATTAGCACCCTATATTCAGCACCCTATATTACTACTATTTCCAGTTAGCACCCTATATTCAGAATCAATAAAATGGCAAAAACATTCTTTCATATCATCTACTGTGAGCAAGAATTCACAATGTAAGGGGAAATTATTTGCATTCTTGATCATTTTTCATCACCTAAGGCAACAAATGAATCCCTCTGAAATAACAAAAAAAAAAAAAAACATAAGATGCCTGTGATCATACTGGTCTACTTTGGGACAAACAGGAAAACTTACTGAAATATGGTTCTGTTTAAATTGAAACGAAATGCTGTCTCAGTGTCCAGTGCATTATCAGACAGAGGTCTTCATAATGAACGGCTATGGCACAAGCTCCATTATGCTTCAGTATTGCACCTGAAACTGTCAGCGGTAACGTGAACCTTCAGGATCCTGTCTGAATGTTGGAACAGATCGTCAGACACTTCTTTGAGCTTTTATTTTCGCAATCGCAGCCACACAAGCTCCCAGCATCCCCTAGTGAACATGTACAGGGATTGCCTTTCTTACTCTTTCTGTGCCTGATGGTTGCTTTTGTCTCAATCACACTCTCTTACTTTCTTTGTGCCGTTGACTGTTCCTTACTAATGTGGTTTTATTGTAGCTGTTTCTTGTGGTTCTCAATAAAGTATTGTTAAAAAGTGCGGTGTCTTTTCCCTTGGGTCCAGGTATCACATAACAGCAACAACAAATGGATCAATGCACCAAACAATAACAGAAATCTTAAGCACACAACCTCAAGTGTTGTCATGAATATAATATTTTCAGAGGTTTAGGGAGAGAAATAAAGGATAGAAAAGAAACGTCTCTTTTTGTAGTGCTGGAAAGATAGACAAATTGAAGAAAGTAGAACACAAAATCCTTGCTGTTTTGTTTTAGCACACTTGACGTTCTATATATAGAATGCAATAAAAATTCACTTTCTCCTTTTTCTGTCTGTTTCTCTCTGTCTCAGGGTGATGATGTTATGACAGTTATCAAAACCAAAGCCCAGTGGCCCGCCTGGCAGCCCCTTAATGTGTAAGTTTCCATCACTTTTGTACTTTTACATAGGGCTGTGCAAAAAATCGAATGCGATTTTCATGCACATCTCATCAGTAAAGCCGCTCCTGTGATTAGTAGTAAATCTCCAGCACGTGCGTTCAGATGGAGCGGCATTTACTACACAGAGCCATAGTTCACTGACAAGCTACACAAAATCGTGGTCAAAATCGGCAATGAATCGCCTGCGATTTTGAATGTGATTTTGTGTAGCTTGTCAGTGATCTACGGCTTTGTGTAGTAAATGCTGCTCCATCTGAACGCAATTGCTGGAGATTTACTACTAATCACAGGAGCGGCTTTACTGACGAGATGCGCATGAAAATCGCATTTGATTTGTTTGCACAGCCCTACTTTTACATTTAGACAACAGCCTCAAAAAGTGTTTTGACACTTTAGCCACACTCAAAAATAAATGAATGAATGTCATTGCATTAGCCTATATGACAAAATATCACACCAAGTGTGACTTAAAGTGTCCAAATTTAATGGAGGCCACTGTATATTTGAAATATGTCATCGAAGAACCAAAGAATCTCCATATCCAAAAGGTCCTTAATGGTGTCATATATATGAAACTAGTGATGCACGATATTATCGAAATGTTATCGGAATCGGCCGATTTGAAAAAGTTTATGCCGATATGCCTAGCCAATAAGACGAATAACTCACGTGTGATAGTGATAAGATCACGTCAGCAGTGTGGTCATTTCTGAAACAAACTTTTGCCTGAATGATGCAGCAGCAACAACAGCTGCCCCCAGGTCCTAATGCCCGTTCAGTAAGGCCTTTTATTTATCTAGGGGGCGCTGTAGGGCTACTTGTAATAAAATGAAAAGTAAAATACACAAATAACATTAAGATACTTGTTTTCTGTACAAGTAAAGCAGTAATTGATGCCATAAAATCACAAGTCTGTTTTGATTTAAAGGTGCTTTCACACTTGGTTCGATTGCCTGGTCCGAACCCGAGTTCGACTGCTCCCCCTCCCCCCGCTGGACTGCGTCCATATTATTTTATTTGAGTCTGAACCGCAGTTCATTTGCGTCATCAAGCCAGCAGCTGTTTACCCCATTGCTTAGTAACGATGGCACAGGAGAAGGCAGCAAAATGCGTAGCATTGCTCTCTTCACTTTTATATTCATGTATTTGAACCGTTGGTTTTGTTTCCAAAGCTTCAGTACATAACGGCACTTATGTCTGTCTTACAAATGTACTGCAAATGCTCTAAAGAATGCTGAATGCGAACAGAAATGAGATACAGCTCTCTGCTTGCAGCGCGTCAGTCACGCTTGTCAGGAAAGTGAGTGAAACACACACAAACACACATTTTTATCAAATAATACATCATTAATAATGGTTCACTTCCACGATTTTGTACGATTGCGTTCATATCAGCAGTAAACCGTACCAGAGTTCACTTGAACCGTACCCCAGACCACCCCTTTTAAGCGGACTCCGGTACGGTTCGGGGTGCGCACCCGAGTTCGGAAGACAGCGTTCACATCATCCAAATGAACCAAACTCTGACATCAATCGAACCCAGGTGCGCACCAAAAGTGCTAGTGTGAAAGCATCCTAAAGGTAGGCAGCTATAGCTTACATGAATAAAAATCACAAACATGACACTTGTTAATTAAATAATTTAATATATACAGATTCATTCATTAATATGTAATATTTTTTTTTTCAAATGGATTATGAAAACATAAATACAAGGAGCTCTAAAAGATTTTTAGAATTTTTACAGCTCTTTTGCTTTAGACCATCTATTAATGTTAAATTCACAAATAAAATGTTAATGTTTCATCTGCTGTCAATATATATATATATATATTCGAAGCTTTCAACATACTCTCATTAAAAAAAGAACTTAAAAACTTAAAATAAAATAGGTTTTTGCTTAAAACTAACCAAAATAAAAAAAATATTTGTTTATAATTTCTGCACAGGAGAGACTTGGTGTTGTTTCAAAACAAAAGGAAATATATATCGATATCGGCATTGTCTATTGGCCGAAATTATTTGAAAAATATTGGCATATTGGATATCGGCAAAAATCCAATATCGTGCATCCCTATATGAAACGTTACCATGAGATTTTGAAAAACCATAACATCCCAGTGTTCAATATTGATAATAATCAGAAATGTTTCTTAAGAAGAAAATAAGCACATTAGAATGATTTCTGAATGATCATGTGACACTGAAGACTGGAGTAATGATGCTGAAAATTACATTTTAAAATATATGTAAAATATAAAATATATATTTATATATATTTAAAGTGTTATGCCTTTATTTATATAGGACAGTAGGTGGACAGGAAGTGAAGTGGGAGAGAGGGGGATGGGATCAGGAAAGGTCCACGAGCCAGGACTTGAACTCGGGACGCCCAAAGCGCAACAGTGCTACATGTCAGTGCACTGCCCACAAGGCCATTGGCGCCAAACAAAATATCTAATTTTAAAATAGTACAGTTTTTACTGGTTTTTTTTTTTTTTTAATAAATGCAGCCTATCAAAAAAATTTAAATAAAATTGTACCGACCCAGAAAGTCTTGCTTTCTCCTGGATGAATATTTTTTCAGTGGAAAAGATTAAGGCCTGATTCATGAAAACCCCTTTCAGCACCTGCTGGGTATGTAGATGTTTCTTCCCGCTCACTAACGAGGTGGTTAATATTTTATGTGTGGTTTTGTTTAGCGAAGGCTTCCGTTTTTGATGAGAGTAGCATTTCCCCTGCGGTGCTTTTGCGATTGAGGTTATGGCCTCATTCCAGCTCCAATATATCAGGACATTCTCTTGACCTATTTTAACGTCAGACTGTCGATTACCACAGCCAATTTACCCCATGAAGAGGGAATGGCAATGGCAGACGGTAATTATTTCTAACCATAAGTCAAACATACAAGGTACTTTCCACCAATAGGGCACACTGTAGTATCCCACACTGTACTTTTTTTTAAAGCATTAGAGCCATAAATTGTCATTGTTTTGTGGTGAAACTTATTAGATATGTTTGATAAACTACTGTCTAACATAAAATTAGGCTAGCAAAGTAGTTTGTATAGGCATTTTGGTCTTTCCCTCCTCAGGTTCTTTATCTTCTTGACTGTATCCAACACTATTTGTAACTTATTTTATTTACCAAAAATTATTTAATTTTATTAAAATCTTTAGTTTATTTTATTTAAAAAATATATGTTATTTTGTTTAGTTTTTTTATTTTATTTACTCATTTATTTATTATTTTAATCTTTTTTTTTTTAGCTATGCCCCACACTTTGCCTGGAATGCATGGCTCTCTCTCTCTTCCTCTTTCTTCTGCTCTCAAGTGTGGGCTGTGCGAGTCATAAGGCGCTGGTTTAATGATGAATATTTAATATGTGTTAATCAATAGATCCAAGTAAAATCTTCAAGCGCGCAGCCTGCTCCACTCAAATGGCAACAGTTGCTTTGGTGATGGTTTGTTATCAGGGCAATTAGTTTGATTAATTACCATCTGGATCCTTACAAATTATGGCTTAGTGCATAATACATGACACAGACTTCCTGTAAGTGGCATTATGTTTGTGTACAGTCCTTCCTCTGAAACAACAACTTTATTTTCAGATTCTCTTCTCTTGTCTTCTCTCAGGCGTTCCTCCCCCTCGGCGGAGTTCTCGGTGGATCGAGCCCGTCATCTCATGTCTTTCCTGACTATGTTGGGCCCCAGTCCGGACTGGAACGTGGGATTGTCTGGGGAGGACCTGTGCACCAGGGATTGCGGCTGGGTCCAGAGACTGGTGAAGGATCTGGTGCCGTGGGATGCCGGTACTGACAGCGGGGTCACTTATGAGGTCAGTTTTCACAGACTGATGACATTGTTACATTAGAACAGGGGTGGCGAACGTCGGTCCTGGAGAGCCGCAGCCCTGCAGAGTTTTGCTTCAACCCTAATCAAACACACCTGAACAAGCTAATCAAGGTCTGAAGGGTTATTAGGAAGCTACAGGCAGGTGAGTTTTAATTAGGGTTGGAGCTGAACTGTGCAGGGCTACGGCTCTCCAGGACTGGAGTTCGCCACCCCTGCTTTAGAACATACTGTGAGAACTTTCAGAATGGAGTCCATATACTGTAGGGTAGCGTGAGGCAATGTGGGTCATTGTGCATGCACTGAAGCTAGGTTTTCATAACTCTTCTTCTACTGTATGTTAATCTGAGATCTGGTATTGTACCAACTGTAAACAGTATGACAAGACATCAAGTCAATTGCTTGGTTTTTCTTATTTACATTGAATTTTTGTTATAATTTGTGCAATGAATAGATGATTTTTCCTAAATATTTGATCGTGTTTAACATTATATTTTTAGTAAACATGTTAATGCATTCAGTTCCAAGAAGATAAGATAATAGATTTCACAAATTGTGCAGATAATTAAAATGAATTTAAAATTTGCACTCACAACATTAATGTATGCAACTGCACTCCTGCCTTACTTGCAGAAAAAAAAACAAGATTTTGCAATATTCATGCAAACACAGACCTCAGTGCAAATGACCAATAATTAAATAATTAAATAAAAAATAATAATCAGTATTCAACTGTTCATTATTATTATTATTATTGTTGTCGTTGTTAAAATAATTAAAAAAATAAAATAACTAAAAAATATGATTAAAAAAACTATAATACAACAACAATAATAATATTCAATATTCAGCCTTTCAATAATAACAGTAATAATAAAACTGTTATTAAATAAAAATACATTAAAATGCTGGTAATGGTTATTATTATTGGTATTATTATTATTATTATTATTATTAAATATAATAATATTAAATATTTAAAATATAAAAAAAAAAAAAATCCACACTTTATGGACTTACATGTATAAATGTTTAACTTGTGGGTGATATTTCACTTGTTGAGATTTTTTGATTTAATTACTATACAACTAAACAAAGATACATGGGTTTGATTTATAAGTAAATACTCATAATGGGTGTCTTTATTATTTATCTTTAAACAGGAGCTCGGATGGAGACATTTTTGTATGCACTCTGAATAGTTCTAATCAGCAAGTTTCTGATCAGTTTTTCAGAAATCACTCAGAACAGAATGAAAGTTATAATGTCAAATTAAACAAAAGCTTTAATGGCATTGAAACCCATGAAATTTGACAATCTTAATTACAAGGTAATGGAATAATATTTTGTTTTGCCCTGAAGGTTTGATGTGGAAATTAAATTGTTATATAAACAAAGCAAAAACTACTTTCAAAATTGCTTCCACATTGTCTCATATTTTAATGTTACTTAAAATCGCTTATGAATATACAAAATCCAAGTGTGCACTAGATAAATAAATACAGAGAGGAAAAACAAGTGCAAATAAACCAGTTTCCTCACTGTGTCCTCTGTTGCTTCTAGTGTCAAAAAAATCTTCATATTTACTCAAGAGCTGTTCAGAGCAAACAGTATTAAGACTTTGCACATCCCAAATGCTAAGTGGAACCAGGACTTCACACGCTGCCCCCTGCTGGTATGAGACAGTCCTGAGTTGTTCCTTGAAAGAAATAAGTTCGCTTCAGAAGTTACACTCAGCTTAACCGAGCAGTTGGAGCAGCAGTTGGTCTTTGTTTTGCAGCGTTGCTCTGAAAGCATTGTGGTGGGATGCAAGTAACTGTCAGGTGACTCAAAGTGCAGAGGCAGGAAACAAGGCCATAAATCACTCATAAAGGGAATATTACACAGTCAATGAATGATGCATATGGAGATGAAAGGTGGGAGGCCCTGGCAGATGGCATCCAAAAGTCACATACTCTACCTCTCTTTTTCTCTTTACCTCCCTCCCGTTTCTTATGTATATCCAAGTCTCCCAATAAACCCAGCAATCCCCAGGAGCGGATTCGACCCCTCACCAGTTTGGATCACCCACAGAGCCCCTTTTATGACCCTTCCGGTGGCCCCATCACACCCCTTGCCCGAGTGGTAGTGGAGAGAATCGCAAGAAAGGTGATTTTTAAAAGCTGTTTAATTTTTTTTTATATATAATTATAGTATTTACATATGTCCTAAAAGTCCTAAGAATCAAATTACATTCATTTTTATCAAAGTTTGAAGGCAGTACGATTTTAAGAAATTAATACTTTTGTGCAGCATACTTTTATACTGTTACAAGTATATGTTTCAAATAAATGCTGTTCTTTTGAACTTTATATTCATCAAAGAATCATAAAAAGGTGTCATGGTTTCCATTTTAAACAATAATTTTTTTTAAATATATTAAAATAGAAATAATTTATTTTAAATATAGCTTTTTTCCCTCTATTTTTACATTTAGAATACATTTGCCATCATCTAAATTTCACTTAATTAAAAAGTTACTGTCTTTAAATTTTACACTAGTAATTTAATATTAATTTAAAGTTAAAAAGTCTTTCATCTTTAACACTAATTATTTAATAATAATTAATAATAACAAATGTAATCGTTAGCAAATGTTTAATGTAATATAAATTTTTATACTGTACATTATAATGTTGTGATGTATAAAAATTTTATTTTACTTTGGGTGTTTTGTTTTTAATTTATTTAGACAAAATAATACAACATATATTGGCCACTTATCAGTTATTGGCCATAACATTGAGCATGTGTTTTTGCGAATTTATTATTGTTTATTTCCTGTTTTGTTTTTTTAGCATTCAGTATGAACAGCTGTGTTGTTTAATATAGCTACTGACCCTGAATTGCTGAGTCATAAAAGTCAAACTAAAGCATTAGCTTACAAAAATATGTCAAAGCAAGCAGTCGTGAAACATGAAAACTCATCAACACTCAAAACACATCTGTTATCCTTCAAATGACAGTGTTTGGAGGATTCTGTTCTAAAATAATCTATTCTGGAACTTATCGACATGAACCAGAACTCTTAATATTCCACACCAGATGTTTAGTCTCTTGTCTCACAGCTGGGAAGGATCTCATCTCTAGGCTTTTACAATCATCTGCCCTCAGAGAATAATTTTTTTGCGTGCGGGGCTTAGCGTGATAGTGATCAGATGGCAAATGGTGGATCTTATCAGGCGCTGTGATGTTGATCCATGTTCTTCCAATCTGCAGGGAGAGCAGTGCAATACCGTGCCCGACACCATAGACGATATCGTTGCTGATATTGCTCAGGAGGAGAAGGAGGAAGGTGCGTATGGCTACGCTATCTTATCCAATTTGTAGCACCTAATTTAAAAACATAGCCACCGGACAGTTTAATGAACAAGGCGGCCAGCAGGTATCTTAGAGTACACCTCTGTCCCTTCTGTCACGGTAAAGTCAAACAGGAAGATGAAGAAGAACAATATGCTTTACCATGGTGCACTTCAATTATGTTTGTTGGCTAATGTACTCTGCCAGATAATTACCTGTGGTTTCCCTCCAGTTTCTTGTGAGTTTCAGGAGTGGAAAGACAAGGACTGGAATGAACAAAAGCTTTGCTACTTTTAAAGCTAAAGAGTGTCATTTCTATGCTACTAGCAGCTATTAGTCCTGCTCCGAACTCAACTGATGTTGCTGTCAGGCTGGTCAGGGAATGTTTTGATAGCACCAGCAAACCACAGAAAGGAATAAAAACAAGGACAGAAAGATAGAAAGACACAAAGAAAAGTCAATGTTTATGGTGTCCCTATTAAAATGTACTCACCTTCAGGCCATCCAAGATGTAGATGAGTTTGTTTCTTCATCAGAACAGATTCATTCTGATGGCACCCATTCACTGCAAATGATCCATTGGTGAGTAAGTGATGTAATGCTAAATTTCTGATTCTGTTCTGTTCAACTCATCAACATCTTGACTGGCCTGATGGTGAGTACATTTTCAGCAAATTCTCATTTTTGGGAGAAGTATTCCTCTAAGAAAAGGTTTAAAAGTGCTACTGCTTTCCATGAACCATGCAATGTCCTCTAATGGTCAATACACTCACTCATTTCCACAGCAGACAACACTCCAGAGACGTGCATCTACTCAAACTGGTCTCCGTGGTCAGCCTGTAGCTCCTCCACCTGTGATAAGGGTCGACGGATGAGGCAGAGGATGCTAAAAGCGCAGCTGGACCCCAGCATGCCCTGCCTGCATACCCAAGACTTTGAGCCCTGCATGGGGCCGGGCTGCAGCGAGGAGGGTGAGCTAGATAATGCTGGTCTCCAGCTCTCCAGCACATATAAAACCCTTTGAGGCTGACGGATTTAGGGATCACTATCTCAGAGCATGCCAGGAAGGAAGGTGCATAGAATAAGGGAAAGAAAAAAAAATGGAGGAAGAAGGAATAAAAATGTTGTGCAGAAAAGCGTGCATGAAATGCTGAGTGGAGCAGGTAATTAATTGATAGTCTTGTTAGTGCGAGTAATGTAGAGAAATGCAAGGTCTCTGTTTTCAAGGTTTCAAAAACCTTACCCGACCTCAAACTGCTCCTGTGGAATTTTATGCCTGCAATCTGCTCGAGCAGACCGATGTATTGATTCCCTCGTTGGAGAGGTAGACGCTATAAACCATAACCATAAACTATATATTGTGGTTTATCGTTTAAAAGAATCAATAAGACATTTGCACTTTGGTTGGCTGGCCATTTGGGTCAGAGTATAAAATCTTGGTAAGTTAAACTGCAAATAATGTTTTCTCTTTTGAATTTTTGGCTGTCTTTTCTTAGATCTGTATATCGACACACATGTAAGGGCTGCACAATCCAATTCAAATCACAATGGCTGTATGGCCTTCTGTGGCCACAAAAAGCTGTAATTTAATTAAGTAAATATAGTGCCCATGTGCTGTGGGTTCTAAATAGGCCTTATTCACCAGTGTGTCAGAACCAGGTTTTTTTTTTTTTTCACCAACAAAAAAAAACCCCGCATTTAAATGTTTAAAGAACATTCTATTTTATGGTATAAAAATATTCTAAAATGCTCTAAATTTTCTAAATATTCCAGTGTTTTCAGTATAATATACTATTGAATAAAAAAACAATTAATTTTACAATATTTTAAAATATTCTAAATATTCTTTTTTTGATAGTATGTGAAATATTATTGTATAAAAATATAAGCAAATAAGCACTTGCAATAAGCAAAAATAATCACTATAAGATTCTTAGACCGAATTGTACAGCGTCTGTGACATTTTCTGTCTGTCTACCAGTCTTTCTCTCCACCTGGCGACTGGTGACATTTTCTCTTTTTTTCCCTCTGTCTGTCAGCATATCTGCATCGACCCATCCATCTGCCTCATCTGTACCTCTCCATCCTTTGATCTGTCTGTTTTTCCACATCACGTCTTCATTCTGTCTGCTCTGATGTGAGGCTTTTAAAGATGTTGAAGGCAGTTGTTTCTCACCAGCACTCGCTATTGATTAATAGAACCTGCATCGCTTCGCGTAGACTCTCTTTTGTTTTTAATTAATGGGCCGTTAAGGGCCTGCATTGATTGATAATCCACCATCCCATTGACAGGCCGACACTGGGGCCTCTGGGGGCCCCATCAGGGCCACGTTTATTTACAGCTCTTATTAATGATTCACTTAGTTCTGCTTTATTAGGTAGTGCTTGCTGCTGGTCCCAAATGGGGTCTGCAGTTCTACACTGGAGGCAAATCTATGGAGAGTCGCCCCAAGTTCATCCATCCCGTCTGATAACAAATCAATTTACAAGCTCTGCCTTAGAGATAATTGGAACGGCTGAGGTGAGATAAAGCATGGCTGGATCGGTCAATTTGATCACATCTGTCAGAACTTTATAAGGAGAGAAAGGTGGAAGATATGAAAGATGAACTGTAGAGCTGTAATCTTACAGTCTGTCATACATAAAGAAAGAGGATTATATGAGCAGGTAACTGCACTGAATTGCTGTATATGGCGAAGAAGGAATATCTTACATATATCTTACAAGAGGGAATAACTTACATTTTATTGTAATTTAATAAAAATAATCACAGTAAACAAATTTTGTGGCAAGTGATATAGTTTATTATTATTATTAATAAATTGTATGCATTAAATATTACTTTTGATGTTAAACAATGTTGTTGAAGTTATTATTATTATTATGAGATGCTTTTAAAACAGTACTGAACTTTGCATGTATACTGGACATCTGTTTGCTCATACATTTAAAAACAATTAAACTACAAATACATTTTTGTAAAATAATTAAATAAATAACAATTTGCTCAGATTTCAAGAATTTAAGCATAAATCTTTGGATCAAGCTTTTTATGAGAAATATAAATGTGGTCAAATGTATCTATTCACTCATCACAAGATCTCAGAGTGAACTTTTAGGAAAGATTTGGGACATACAGTACCTCATTAGCATATGACTAATGTGCTTCTGTTGTTCTCTCCCCTAGAGGTGTCCACCTGTATGATGTCAGAGTGGATCAGCTGGTCTCCGTGCAGCGCCTCGTGTGGAATGGGCATGAGGTCCAGAGAGAGATATGTCAAGCAGTTCCCAGAGGACGGCTCCAGCTGCACGCTGCCAACCGAGGAGACAGAGAAGTGTGTGGTCAATGAGGACTGTTGTAAGTTATATATATATGTTGTGTTCATGTTTTGATGAACGTTCAGTACAAGTATTTAGTCAAATAACTATCCTAAAGTCTACACAAGTAATGTTAGAGACATGTTTATGTGTGTTTCAGCACCCAGTAGCTGTGTGGTGACCGAGTGGGCTGAGTGGGAGCCCTGCAGCGTGAGCTGTGGAGTGGGGATGAGGAAGAGAGAGCGCATGATGAAGATGGAGGCCTCAGATGGCTCGCCCTGTCGAGCGCAGCTGGTGGAGGCAGAGAAGTGCATGATGCCTGAGTGCAGTAAGTATGAAGCCACGAAATTTCAATTCAGTCAACTCAATCCAACACCCTCTCATGGGCCAGGCAAGATGCCCTGCTTCACCAGGCTTGATTCATTACCAGAATTCCTTTGCTGCTAGTCGATTTCTAATTAGACCTGCTTGTCACTTGCCCCGGGTAGGGCTGGACCAGCCGTCTTATTTAAATTGAGGCATCAAGTTCACGCTTGGGATTTTGTAGATAGTCATTGCTAAATCGGTACTTAATTTGGTTCCATCATTTTTTTTTTTAAGACAAGACATACAGAAGCAGGTCATAAAGGCTCTGTCAAATAATGTGTAGTCACATAATATGACTTTTATTTATCTGCTAAACAGCTTTCAAATTTGTAAACAGAAGTAGTATTTAAACGCTGTCCATTTCAGTTTTAATGAGTAACATGCTTCTGATTGAACCATTGAAATATGATACATAATCACAAAATATAAGAAATAGTACATTTAAATATGTAAATATTCAGGTACTGCTTCTAAATTGGGGCAATAAATAAATACCAATACAACATTTATAACACACATTTATGTTCTATTACCAATACAACATTTGTTTGTTTGGTTGTTTATTTATATTATTTATATTTTTCTATTTGTATTTTATTTTTCATAGCAAAATTTTGTGTATTTTAATACAATCTGCACATTAAATATTACATTTGATGTTAATTATAATGTTGTCTAATTTAACAACAACAACAGCATCAATAATAATAATAATGAGAGATTCGTTTTTAAATAATTTAAATATGATTGATCTACAGTGGATGAGAAAGTATGCATCATGGCAGTTTTGGTCCGAATTCTATTTGTTTTATAACATTAATATTTTAAATATAATTTATTTGAATGGCTATGCAGTATAAATCTGAAACATATGCTGTAAAATATACTTAATATACTTTTAATTTTTTTATAAACATACACCATCATCACAAGTAATATTTTATAATATAAAAGATTTATAAGTAATATTTAATATTTTTTGTCACACTTTATTTTAAGGTCCAATTCTCACTATTAACTATGACTTTTGCCTCAGAATACTCCTAATTTGCTGCTTATTAGCAGTTAGTAATGTAGTTGTTAAATTAAGGGATGCGGTTGGATTAAGGGATCTAAAATACGGAATGATCATGCAGAATAAGACATTAATATGTGCTTTATAAGCACTAATAAACAGCCAATATGCTAGTAATATGTATGCTAGATAGCAATGAGAATAGGTCTTTAAAATAAAGTGTTACCTTTTTTAAACTTGCAAATTTATATTTAATATTGAATTGGGTAACACTTTATTTTAGGGTCTCTTAACTAGTTGCTTATTAGCATGCAAATTACTAGAATATTAGCCATTTATTAGTACTAATTAAGCACATTTTAATGCCTTATTCTACATGACCTTATTCTACATCCCTAATCCTACCAATACCTAAACTTAATAACTACCTTACTAACTATTAATAAGCAGCAAATTAGGAATTATTGAGAGAAAAGTCGTAGTTAATAGAGAATAAGTGTTCCCTATTCTAAAGTGTTACCTTTAATTCCTATATTTATGCTTGCAAATCTTTAAGAGTTCATGTATAACCGTTAATTTTTGTTTAGTGTGCTTCATCAAATGACAAGTACTTTCATAAAATTACAAAAAAACTAGTATGCACTAGATTATGTGGATTGCAAGTATATGCCATATAAATCTAAAGCAGATTACAAATGTAGTATGCACTAGATACTGTGCACCTCTAATTTAGCATGCCTTGGGAAAGAATAACATTGTAATACCATGGTTTTGTGGACGTGTACCATGATAATTCCATGGAACCGTGTTCAAAAAAGCGTGTTATGACCTCATGGCATTAAACTAATATGTACATACTGTAGACAGCTGTCAAAATTCTTGCCATTTGTTGATTTATGTTCTCCCAGTACAGTTAGAACAGAGAATTGTGTCAACAACTAATGGTAATTCAGTTGATTGAAAACATAATTGTTATTTCCTGTATTCTGTGTGGGTGGTCCTTTATTCTAGTTCTAGGCCGAGTTTTATGTTTATTTATTGATTTTCTGTGCATGTGTGTGTCACGCAGAGTATGGGGGTGGTTTTGTACGTGTTAGTGTGTGGCACTCTTCCATTTGATGGTCCTAGCCTTCCTGTCCTCAGACAGAGGGTCCTGGAGGGCCGTTTCCGCATCCCCTACTTCATGAGTGAGGGTGAGGAAGTCAAAGTAACACAATTATAATATGACTGTTCATGCATCCTTTAAGTTGTCATAAATAAACAGTGAACAGTGCCAGGGGTTACATGTATGTAATCGGATTTTGAGAAATAGTGATAATAGTTACTCTGTGAAGTTTCAGAAGGAAATGTCTTTTGAGCTCATTGCATTCCCTATATCCTCTATCAGACTGTGAGCACCTGATCAGGAAGATGTTGGTTCTAGATCCAGCCAAGCGTTTGTCCCTGAGTCAGATCAAAGAACATCGCTGGATGGTGCAGGAGGTCCCGTCCCAGCGGCCCGTGCTGTATAGACAGGGTCTGCCATGTGTGAGCAAATTAGGCTTGGGTGAACACAGTGAGCAGGTGCTCCGACTCATGCACAGCCTGGGCATCGACCAGCAGAAGACCATTGAGGTCAGCTGATCAGCTTTTACTTGGCCAGGATTTAGAATGTGTTCAAATTCTAGTTCAGTTCTTGCATCTAAACTGAATTTGAATTAAGGTTGCGAACAGGATGTAGAACTGTAATTACAATTAGAATGTAAGTACTGAATTGAAATTGAACTGGAGTGAAATTCAAAGAAATTCTGTATGTGTTCATACTTTAAATGATAGTAATAATTAAATGAAGATCACTCATTTCCCCAAATTCTTTAATTTACTCAGAAAGGTTGGTGAACAGATCTACCATTAAAATATTTTGAAAAATATGTATAAATTAATATATATATTTTATATTAGTTTTAAGTGTTATTTTGGACAATATTTACAAATTTTTGTAAAAAAAAAAAAAAAAGAAAGAAAAATGTTGTTACTGTACAACAGTAATGTGTAAAATGTATGAAAAAGATTACATTATAGTGCTGTTAAGTGTTCAGTGGTTCATGATGCAACTGGTTTGATAAAACTGTGGAAGAACCACACTGTCTTGACCATAATAACATTAATTATTTTTCTCACCAGAACATTACAGAGAGGTCAATGATAGGGAGAAGAAACATGGAAAGGAATTTGTGGAATGTCATGGATTGAAACTCATTTCCCCATATGAGCACAACAGCCGTGTGGCACATGCCACATGCAAACCACAAGTATTGTAGAAGGAGAAAGTAAGGAATGGAAAGGCCACTTGCCACTGTGTGTTCTGTGTTCGTGTCTGGGTGGGACGGGTGGGACATGTCCCCACCACTTTTTGCCAGGGTCGATATTGTCCCTACCACTTTTTGAAAGTAATTGAAAAATATATTGCCGAAGGTATGTATTAAAGGGAAAACAAGATCAACAAATCATTCTTCATAATCTATTTAGGGTGATAAAAAAAAAAACAACAACAACATTTGACTCCTTATGCATGCATAACTCGTAATAACGACGTGATTTGCAGCTATCGCTTTTTTCGTAATGTCATTAGGCTAAAGCATTTTATTTTAAAAATGGAGAGCTTCCTTGTGCTTAGTAGGCCTGCCCTCTATTAAAGATGTTTCTAGTCAACTAGTCGCACGTTATATTAAATTGATTAATTCACAAAATTCAAATCACAAATAATACTACTGATGAAAAAGAACGGGTTGAATGTTAACTACTTTCGTTTCCATATAACTATAAACTAAGATAAAAGTTCATCAGCATGCATTAATTAATAGCATGTTGTAGCGCCAAAAAACAATACAAAAAAAAAACCGCAACCAACTGAGAAAATTCTCTGGCGCCGCCCCTGGTACATAGATGTATTTTTGAAAAGCAAAAATTAAGTTTGTCCAACTCTAAACCCAGTCCCCAAGTAAATTAGGTTATTAAATAAAAAACTAGCAAAACGAGTTGCGCGGTGTCCCCACCACTTTTCAACGCAAAGTTACGCCACTGATGAACAGTAGTAACTGTTCATAACTTGTGTACTCATGTGTGTAGACGAGGTGGTGTGTATGCTGTCTCCGTGGTCAGACTGGGGAGAGTGCAGTGTGTCTTGCGGGGTGGGCATGCGTTCCCGTCAGCGCATGCTGAAGACGCCTGTAGAGCCCAGCCTGTGTTCAGATGAACTCGAGCAGGTTGAAAAGTGCATGCTTCCTGAATGCCGTGAGTAACACACACACACACACACACACACACACACACACCTTTATTTATACCAAAGACTTTGTGTTTTCATGTAAAGCTAATTATAAATACTACAGACTAACCCTAATGCGATTTACCAATTGAAGACGTCCATAAAGGGAGGTTTTGTGATATTTAGTTCACAAAATTGTCCTCAAATTGTAGTATATGCACAGAAACAAACAAATGGATGAAATGCTCCCTTTTTAATTCCTCCTCCAGCCACGGACTGCATGCTGTCGGAGTGGTCGGAATGGTCCGAGTGTAATAAGTCTTGTGGGAAGGGTCACATGATCCGGTCACGGATGGTCAAGCTAGAGCCTCAGTTTGGAGGCATGCCCTGTCCCGAGACGGTCCAGAGGAAGAAATGCAAGATCCGCAAGTGCATGAGAGGTTCCCGTGCCAGCGACAAGAAGAAGAGACAGGAAGCTTCAGACAGGAGGAGAGCAAAACTGAGCAGGGAGTCTGTGGCAGAGGAGAGCTCAGGTCCAGAATTATTTAGTATTTACTTATTGCAAGTTTAGCTCTCTGTCAACCGATCATTCCTGGAAGCAGGATTTATGTTAATTGCTCATGGTTTGTGCAGCTGAGTTTGACTTAAATTGGAATTTGATTTATCTGAGACAGTTATTCCGAAGTCTTTGCAATCTGTATGTAATAACTTCAGCAGCCTCTTAAAAACTTTTCTTGGCTGATTTCACCTTGGTACAGAGCTCCTAAAGGGACATGGTGATGGAAAATAATATGCAATGGGACAGAAAAAACATTGTTCACTCACAACTTTTTGCATCGTCTCGTGAAAATATTCTCCTAAGAATATTTTGCATTCTCATGTAAAACCTGTGTGTTCTCGCGAGAGACTTCTGCACAGTGCTTCACTCTTGTACATAATTACTTGAGTAAGCTGTACAGAGCTCCAAAAGGGACATGGTGATGGGAAAAAAATTGGATTGAGGAAAATGATGAAAGTGAAATTTAGCTTTTGGTGATGAAAATAATACGAAGTGGCTGGCAAAACTGTATTTCAATACTTTAGCAAAGTTTCTCTATGGAAGTTTCTCTATTTTTTCGAGCAAAAGCACTCTTTCTCTGTGGGAACACAAAATGTTTTGTGAGTGAACGCAAAAGCATTGAAAAATCATTTCTATTACCATCTCATTTTCAAATAACCATTGAAATATGTCAAGATGACGTGAAATGCCAATTTTGTTCACAGTCCAATCAGTTCCAAAGGATAAAATCAAGTTCCACCCTGATTTTTTATCTCATTGAATATTCCATTTCACACAGAAATACGTGACATTAGAGTAGTAAAATAAGTTTCTTGTCACCCTTTTGACTAAGTTACTTTCCTTTGTATATTTTTCCTGAAAAATCCTGATAATTACCTTGTTCCAAAACCTAGTGAGCTGCCTACAGTGGAAGTATTTCAAGTCATCATACGTGCGCTCTTAAAAGGCAGAGAACTAATGAATCTGCTTTGATAGATACTTTGTGATCAGACTCTAAAGCTTGCATTCGCATGTATCATTTATGGAGGCAATCCTAAAATGCATTGTAATTAGGTCTGAAACTTATAAAAAATAGTTCTGTGTAATTACAAATGTACTAATTTACCCAATATTTGTGTGTTCTGTACATTTTAGGGTTACTAATGCATTTTAGGCTCATAACTCATGGCATCTACACTACTGTTCAAAAGTTTGGGGTCAGTACGATTTTTAAACGTTTTTGAAAGATTACTCTTATGCACACCAAGACCAAGTAAAAACTGTCATTTAGGGAAATATTATTACAATTTAAAATAACTGTTTTCTATTTGAATATCTTTTAGAATGATATTTATTCCTGTGATCGAGAAGCTGAATTTTCAGCATTACTCCAGTCTTCAGTGTCAGTGATCCTTCAGAAATCATTTTAATATACTGATTTGCTGCTCAAGAGACATTTCTTATTATCAATGTTGAAGTCGTGTTGCTTAATATTTTTGTGGAAACAATTTTTTCAGGATTCTTTGATGAACAGAAAGTTCAAAAGAACATTTATTTTAAATAGAAATCTTTTGCAACATTATAAATGTCACTGTCACTTTTGATCAATATAATGTATCCTTGCAGAATAAAAATATACATTTCTTTCAAATCTTTCAATCTTACTGACCCTAAGTTTTGAGTGATATTAGAACAGCGTCCCAAATCAATCACTAATAAGTTACCATGAGAATTAAGATGCATCCTAACAAGGCAAAAATCTCTTTATAAGCAACAAGGCAGCTTACTGTTTTGGAACAGAGACAATATTTTTGTTATTGATCAAATTGCTCTCCTAAGCTCCCTGTAAATCTTCTGTATTGCTCATGTGAATCGATCAGTACATCCAATCTTTTAAAGCTCTGCCACTCTCTGTGAGCCGAAGCATCTCTTACACACACACAAACACACATGTATTGTCAGCGTATGATGAAGTGATTCAGTACGGCTACAGATGGTGATGTAGAGGATGTCCCAGGCTCATTGTACTAGGGAAGTCTCTGTCATCTTGCCGCTTATTCCTAACATGCATGAACACACGCACTCATACATCACCTTTAACTGTGTTGTGCCCATCAGCTGCGGAGGACACTGGTGATATTCATTCTTGACACTTTACCATGGTCACCACCAGCACGCTTCAGAAACCCTCCACCTTCCCCAGCTCCACCTAAATAAATCTGCTGTGGGGTAATTTCATGTATGTTATACATGGGGGTTATTTCATAAATGTTATATGTGCAGCAGCAGTATTTCCTACATGCTCACTACAGCGTGTCTGTGGATGTATTGGCAGTAGCAAGTCTCAGTACTTGCTCTGCCACCGCAGCAGCAGCGTAGCAGATCTATTCCACCAAGACCATTACCACCAAGATATCACCATGCTAAACTCTCCAAGAGTTGTCATGACATAAATTTATTGGTGAACTATTCCTTTAAAGGGCCAAATTCCCCCTTACTCAAACCCCCCCCTGATTTTCTTTTAATCTCTTCCAACAGCCTGTCCGATACGCCCATGGTCCAGCTGGACGGAGTGTACCAAGCCGTGCAGCGGGGGGATCCAAGAGCGTGTGATGGAAGTAAAGAGGAAAGGCAAATCTTCACAGCCCAACCACTGCAAAAACAAGAAGGAGATCCACGCGTGCAACGTGCACCCGTGCTAAAAGTGACTCTCTATCACTGTAATACAATCACACACCCCCCAAAACACACTGGCTCAGCCCTTAAAAAGGCTGATTATGGCAGAAACAGCGTAGTTTTAACCCAAGGTTTCCGGAAGCGGGACCGGCGAGGGGTGTGTGTGTGTTCCAGCTTGTAGGGTTTTAGAGTAACACACACATGGACCAGGCCTGTTATCCGTGATTAGTTTTAGATGCCTTCTTAGCGGGCGTATATACTGTATCAATGTATAACCGACACTTTTCAGTACACCCTAAAAAATGCTGGGTTAAATACAGCCCAGTGCTGGGTAAAATAGGGACAAACCCAGCAATTGGGTTGTTTTGACCCAGCGGTTGGGTTACTACCCAGAAGGTTGGGTTAAGCATTTAACCCAACCTCTGGGTCAAAACAACCCAATTGCTGGGTTTGTCCCTATTATGCCCAGCACTGGGTTGTATTTAACCCAGCATTTTTTAGAGTGTACCAACTTCACTAAAACATCAGTGTGCACTTCTTTTTTAACAATAATTACATCTTCTTTTTATTTGTTATACACAACCACCTCCTTTTTGGATAAAGGTCGGCAGTCAAAACAGATACGTAGCATTTCCTGTAAACAAAACATGGTTTTCTACATCCCATAAAGATTTTGGATGTAATCATATAGTGGGTTGTGAAGGAAAACAGGGCATGATGTGGGATTCGCAAACAGTTTCTAATCCGAGGCTGCCTCTATTGAGTGATATCAAGGTGGGTCACCCACAATCAATGACCAGTTAATTCGGACAGTAAGTGTTTGGTGAGGACAGAGGATTTTTTGTTCCTCGACTGTTATATTGTCAGAAAATCTAGCTGAATACAGGCTTAGGGTAATGCATTGGATGGCCTATGGATAGTTTAACATTGTATATCTGAACTAAAAAGCACAGGTAAGCATAACCATTCAACCTTTTTCTTGGTTTTATTTTATAAATCGTGATATATTAACTTCGAGTTGAACATAGATTGTGACTTTTTATTGCATTATTAGATGTATAAGAGGCTAATGTTAAATATTAACTCATCTGTAGGGAAAGAAAGAAGAAAGTTTCTTACTTTTATTGTGGACTTTTGATATATTTAGCTTCAAAAAGTCTTGCCAAAGTCAAGTGTGGATTTTCTTCTTTTTCTCTGTTGTTCTCTCTACCTTCTTTTTTTTCTTTTCACTCATCTTCTGCAATATTCTGCTATTTTGGAATAGTTCTTTACAATAAAAATATATGTGACTACATGTTTTGGATTGCTTATTGCCTCAAACGCACACACACACAGACACACACACACTATTTTAAACAGTATTGCCTTATATTCTTTCCTGATCTAGGACAGTCTCTCTGTATAACCACTAGGGGGAGACAGAGACTAAAGTTACGATACATAATTATGTCGTAAATTCGTCACCAAGTGGCATAACAATTCAATTGCTCGACAAACGTGGCAGCAGGATGAAAACTTAAAGGAATAGGTCAGGCAAAAATTGTCATTCACATTCATTTTTTTCTTCATAATTGACAATGAATGTCGACTGAATCTGTCATAGCGTCTTTTTTGTGTTCTATAGGCGACAGAACGTCATGTGGATTTGGAATGTCAAATATATTTCAGTGTATACATATTTTTTTCTTTGTATATTTTCTCTTAGCTTAGATTTTTAAGAAATATCTGATTCTGTGTTTTTAATTGGTTTAGATTTGGTTTTAGCAAGCTGCCAAAAATGGTCTTATAGCTCTGTGAGGCAAGGATGTGGCATATTTAGTGTTTGTTTTTCCTTAGCTTATTACACTTTGGTAAAATCACAAGCGTCGAGCTGAAGTGCTGCACTGTTACACGGCAGTGGTGTACATTTATTTAGGTTTGAACTTTACACCCCGCGCCTTTTAAACCTTTTATGAAACTCCTACGGTGATTTAGCTTGACAAGTGTGCGGTAAACGGCCCAGAGGCTTTATACTCTAAACACGGGAGATTTTCCTCTCTTCCTAAACATGATGGGAGCAATTTATTGTTAGAACGCATCATGTCTCGTATGGAGGACGAAACCTGCAAAAACAATAAACAAATAAATACACAAATAAATAAATAAATATGCAAATAAATAAATAAATGTGTGTATAAATACACAAATTCTTGTTTAAATACATATAGAAATAATTAAACGTGATTAAAGTAGGCAAATAAATAAAATAAATTGGTGGGCAAATGGAAAATGTTTAAGGAAACTCATCCTAACTATTTTCCTTTGATCACTCATTTATTTCTGAATGTAGTTCCACATTTATTTTTCCTCTGCA